ATAGTGCTAGGAAGTTGAGATAAGTATATAGTCAATGCCACCTCTCCATGGCCACACGCCAAGCGCTCGAGAGTTGTATTCACTTACCTTATTCATTGAGCTGCACAGACTATGTTTAGACTGTCGTGCAAGGCGTTGTGTTCGCAGTCGAGCTGAGCACGTACTTCTACTTCAGCTTTTTGTTCCAAAACAAATGGATAATTTGGACTTTAATGACCGTGGCATGGAATTTTTCTCACTAAAGAAACCGATTCCAAAATGGGATCGAGAGGTCATTCACTTAGTGTAATGGCCGGCTCGTCTCCCGTATGAAAGGTGGACAATTGCATTGAATTAAGGAGGGATGAGCCGGAAACTATCGGGGGCAGAGCTTCCTTTGAGATCTCCCGCTTCAAACGGGCCTTCTTTTAGCGTGTGGTAAGTCGGGAGAGCCTTCCAACCTTTCAGGTATGCCAGATATCCCATGAACTTTTGCAGCGGAGACGTTCTATCAAGGAAGGAAAACCTCCCACAGGCTCTTCTGAAGACAGAAAAGGTGAATCAGGTGTTCAGCCAACCCATGGGTAGGCCGGATTTATTGCAGCTGTTAAGCGAATCATGTAGTAATATTCGCATGGCTGAATAGTTACCGCTCACAGAACTACTGATTATGGGGTTGGCAGTTAGCCAACTGAGTGCAAGACCAGGTCAACCGAAGGAAATCGGCAATTGTTCTGCACTGTCCTTTACCGGTAGGCGCCGGTGCGTCGCAGTTCTCCTCCTCAGGTCAGGTCACATAAAACACCACTCGAAGGAAGCCTAGGACTAAGCCCAGGCCCAGTCATGGGCTTAAGCTTTAGGGGCATAAGCCTAAGCTTGAATCCAAGCACAACTTTAAGCTTTAATGAACGCGCAGCTCAGGTGAGGCGACCTAGGAGGAGAACTGAACGTCTTCCGTAGGCCCCGCTATGAACAGGGGCGTGACGTCACCTTCACGGGTCGTTTTTGAAAGATCGCTGCTATCGTTCACTACCGATGACGTACGATTTCCGCCCATATTTGCCCAATACTCGTTCGTCGGGATATCTCTCATCTCTATCTCTGTCGTGGGCTCGACGGGTAAAATATACTTACCTACTTGGAAATGAGAGATGTAAAAATGCAGACAGATTGCTTCGTGGTTAACACCATTGGGAAATCGGCCACGACCCTCCACTTGAAGCAAGATCGCTGGTGTAACGTTGGAGGGCTGGGAGTATGCGCCAACGTGATCTGCCTGTCAGACATTCCTGGAAAGCTGTCTTCACCGGGTTACGGCCTTCCGCCCTTCCAGGATCCTCCACACCGTAGATTAATGCACTTGATTTATTAACTGGTTTTTCTATTCTTCTTCATACAGTTCTATAAAAAGGTTTTAACTCGTCATTTTAGCAAAACAGGGTTTTTTGATCATTGGTGTCCGTGGAAAATATATGGGTCTACCAACTATCTGTGATGGACGACAGGTGTCAGCCACAATAGAATTAATCACTTTAAAGCAGTCATCTCGATCTTAGATAATCATCAATGCAAGCACATCAAAGTATTTACAACGATATCCTTAGCAGCATAAGGTCGGTAGATAAAAATTGAAAAAATGGAAAAAAATGGAAAAAAAGAGAAAAAACGGCGTTTTGGTAGTTTGGGCAAAGGTGGAATAGTGGCATGCGGCGCCATATTGATCAAGCACGGTAGAATGGTCAAACAGTGGATCGGATTTCGCTCAAGTCAATCAAACCACATATTCCCTCCTGACTGGCGATTTGGTCTTGGGATCGCGCGTTGCCGTAAGGAAGACACCGGGGATACATATTGGTTCCTTTCCCCGCAAGCGAATGCTTAGGCCTAAATCGCGTTAAACGCCCCCGCCACCGACTCTAAATGGTTTCGGCGCGTTCCTGGAATAGGCTGTTCAGGACGCTCATGGTCTATGTCCAAATACGGGCCGATGGTAGGTGGCGTGCCTAGGGACTAAGCTCGGGAGAGGGGACCAAATCAGGGGCAACAGTAAACATAGTCACATCCTACCGAACCCCTTCCTTCTTAAAGGACGAATTCACGATGAAAAAGCAACCCATTTCAAATTAACCTAGGGATGGTGAGTGGTACACGAAAGAAGGAAGAACCATGAGAAACGGCCCAGAACCCGAGAAATGGGACCCCTTCCTTGCCCGTTGATTCGAGCATTGATGCGACTCTCATCGCTGTGCCCTCTTCAACACTACGCTCTCTCAGCTATCTAATCACTCGCCACGTATTGAACTACGGCGAGTGATCAGATGATCGGTGGGCGGAGATCGCCCGAACCCGCCACAGATAGGTCGCCGAGGTCAAATTTTTCCATGCGAATTGCGCGTCAGTTCGCACCCTCAGGAGGTCCCGTGGGTCCCTCAACTCTAGGTCAAGTTTTTCTTTCTTCCGACCCTTCATTCTAATCGCGAATTCCTCCTTTGAAGCCAGTCCTCTGCTGTATAAGCATACTCTCTTGAATGCTTCTCCCTAAAGACGTTAAAGGCCTTGTTAAGCATCGAGTTTCTTCCTTCCATTTATCTCTAAAAGCAGATTTCCTTCGAACGGAAAATTTTAGCACTTCCCGGTTTGGATCGGAACCAAAAAGAACTAAATAAGTAATAAAAAAAGGGCCAAAAGGGTAATATGTAGATTGATAAAACGAAGTAAAAGTTTATTTATGAATCCTAGCGTAAAAGGGTAGAGCCAGCACAAAATCGGATGCTATCGCAATTTACGGGGACATCCTCCATAACTAAGCCCAGCAGGGGTAGGAACTCCGGGAAAATGAAATAATGGCTCAATGTAATCTCTCCTCCCCCTCGCCCAGGCTCACTCACCGTTTTAAAGAAACATGTCACGCTATTCCAACACATTGCCACCGACAATGCCCCTATAATCTTGCGATAGCCGCCCATAAATCGACTTCATAATAACGCTGTTATTTTTGTTTTTCACTAGCTTGCTTTTAAGCATTGAGAGGACCCATAAAAGGCATGTCCCAGACCCACCATCGGGATGTGTGGACCTATTTTTTAACACTATGTTCCAAACGTGCCTAGAAGGTTGCCTGACGCACATTCTGACCAAAGCTATCGTCAGTCGTGCCACACTATAAACTTTACTGATTTCAGACGGATTTGGTATTTTCATTTGCAAATCCAAGGTCGTCCGTCCGCCAGACGGATGACTGAATCTGAGAGAAATGACAACTTGCGCAAAAGAAAGGCGCTAAGATTTATCAACACAGTTGCAGGCTGAGTGACCTTATCGGCTAGTTTTATGATGGTCGGCGCTCAACTGAATTTCCCCGGTATTGGGTTAGCACCGGCGAAAGCGAACACCCCAGAATAAGCCCAGGCGCTATCGCAATATGCGGGGCATCCTTTAGACTAAGCCTAGGAGGGGCAGAACTCCGGGAAAATGAAAATGGCTCACGCACCCTGGAGTCTCGCCTCCTCCTGCCTAAGGCTGAGTCCCATTTTTAACAAAAAGGAATGTTTTACGCGGTTTCAAATGCAATGCCACCACAATGCCCCGTATATTGCGATAGCGCCAAGCCCTGCACCAGACGGCTCGCCAAAATCATTGCCTTGGTTGGGTGACCCTACCCTTACAGGTGTTTGAAGAATCGTTCTTCCCAACGTGCTTTTCCTTCGGGAGCCTGCAACCTCAAATATTCTAGTCAAAGTAGCATGGGAATTGGAAAAAGCAAAAAAAAGCATGGGAAAGAAAAAAGCATGGGAAAGAAAAAGCATGGGAAAGAAAAAGCATGGGAAACAGAGATCTCGGGCAGAAAATTTGGACCACTAAAATAGCGCAAAGCAGTGTGCAACAGGCTCATAACCTTAACCTTCACAGACACTTCTTGAAATCTATTCAAAAACTTTATTGGCACACTCGACACTTTACAATAGTACGTAGACACAGATAAGAGCTAAATTTGGATCTCGAATAACGGTTAGCACCACTCACAACGGCACCACGACCATGTTAAGCACGGCTTTTCAGGATGGATGTCGACTTGGACCTTTCTTCGTCACCGCCGTATTTCTGAACAGTCAGCCATCAAAGAGGGTTACACCCAAGCGCTAAAAATAACCCTCGCTCACCCTGTTCACTTCTTCTAGCAGCTTTCGAAGAGCAGTAGCATCAGGCCGCTTCTCCGGATCATGATTCCATGCAAGCTCCATAACGGCCACCATCTCTTCGGGCATAGCTGGCGGTGGAGGCATACGATAGCCACCCATCACTTTTTGCTGAAGTTCGGAGAAATCAGGCCATCACCGATGTTCGGCTTAGCAACAACCCGGAACTTGAGGTCAGGTAACGGACCTTTCACAGGTATCGGTGATAAACAACACTTGTTGTCATTTCCGACAGCTGTCAAGCAGAATTAGTGTCTAATTGCAAAAGTTGTGGCTAGCGCATGGCATGACTATTACAATTACTTCCGAAACATAATGATCTCACCTATGCTGTAATTGCTGGCACGCGCATGCGGGGACCTGGCAAAATGCCAAGAGGTGTGAATGTGCAGCTCACTCTAAGATGCTTAGGCAGCGTTTAGAGTTATGCGCAGCGACATGAATCAGGCGATTAGCGATCCGCTGATGGGAAGGACGAATCAAATCGATCCCTATCTTCTCTAATCCGCCTAATAACCAACTCCCCTAGGCAGCGTGCAGGAGTTGGCTAATGAGTACATGGATTTGCGGGCGATTAGTCTATAGGTAAAGGATACGAATCGATTGAAGTTGATTGGGCGGTTAGCGAGTAGGCGAGTAGCGCAGCAAATAGGTCGATGCTCATGGACTGGCGAACAACATTCATACGCCGTCGCTCGCCCTGTTCAAAAATCATTTGATCGCTCTAACTGTCGCCCCAATTGCTAACATCAAAACATTGCACTTTCTTATTTCGAATTTAATCGCCTATGATCGCTACTGATTGCCCAATCGCATGTGCGATGGCCGACTCTGAACGCTGCCTTACTCGCTTGATCGCCTAATCGATGCGTGCTTTTCTTTCCGGGTAATCGCCTAGTCGCCTGATCGCATGTACGGTCGCCAACTCTGAACGCTGCCTCACCCGTCACCCTATGGTAGGTGGCAGCTGACTGATAGGTCTCCCTCCTCGGGTCCGCACACTATGCGTACTTTAGGGATACTTGACGTGAATAATCGATGCGACAGGAAGCTCACCTTTACTGTATAGGCTTTCCATTCGGCATACGGTGAATTATACGGTATTTCGAACATTTCCCACAGCAGCACCCCATACGCGTAGATGTCTGTGTTGTAGCGGCGTTTCACCATTTCGCCACACCTGAACGCTGTGTGATTCAGTAAATCCACCTTCAGATGACCTCCTGTTGCTAATCACATGAATGTACTCTGACACGGACGGGCAGAAGATGACCTTTAATTTGGTGTGAAAGTCAAAGGAAAAAAATGGACGCCTACGCTGGCCCAATTAGCACTCAGAAACTCGTTTCTGGGTTCGGGCCCAAAGAACAAATCATTTGATTCGAACAATATTATTAATTACCCTAGTGGACTCATGTGATCCAATCAGATTAGGGAGCTCTCATGACCTCGCAATCACAGATCACCCTTACACTTTGATTGATTAATTGAATCACAACTAAAATACCGGTTGAGTAATTATGGTCACGCATTAACTACCTAGGTGTTGACTGCGTGACGAAGTACACTGCGAGTATACTTCAAGTGCAAATCGCGCGACTGACAGCGATTTGGCGTTCACTGAGCCGGAACACCATTAGTTTCGCCAGGGTCATGGTGTTAGCGATTAGATCCATAAGGGAGACCTATGGGGAAGTAATGAATGTTTAGAACTTCTCGCTCCCTCAAGCTTTCTTGAAGCACTCACTGTAGGCAATTTGAGTGAGCCCCAGCAAAGTCAAAAGGGAAGCGGGATTGGGTTCAGCATAGTAGGACACTTTGCTTTCTGCCAGGTCTCATGTCAACTAGTAGGACCGGGAAATCGACTGACTTGTAATTGGCAAAGTGGGCATTGTTTGAAGCCGAAACACCGGAAATCCCCCCCCCCCCACCCTGGTACAATCCTTACACTCCATTTCTTCTTCTAAGAAATGTTCCAAACAGGTCTGTGCAGTGCTGAATGAGTGATATAAGGATAATGCATTACAGTGTTGATGAGTCACCTCCAGTGCGGTGCGCCACGCCGTGCTACTTCTCGCTCATAATCTGTAGTCTCCGATTGTGAAACGCAGCGTTTTCGTCTTCATAGACGAAATCTGGTACTCAAATTAATCGCTCCCAGAGGAATGGAAGTCTCAGATGGTCCGAGTAACGTAACACTAGGATTTCGAGGCCCGGATATGAATCGCGCGGCAAGCAGCCTTTGCCTTTCCAACACATTCCACCGCCTACAGTGGTTATTAGCGATAATCAATGCCTGTAGCCCACGATCGAGTGCAAAAAATGTTGTGTGTGATTTAGACACGATGTTCCATTTTGAATGTATGTGCTGTCACAGCTCAAGTTTTTTGTCACCTGTGCGCTTCCGTAAAAAGAATACTGTCAGTTAAAAGAGTTTTGTAAAAACGTAACTCTCTGGCGTAAAATTGGCAAAGGCATATATTTTGAAGGAGTTGCCCTGGAAGGTTGCCTTTCCATTGAGGGCTAGGTTGACCTAAAGATGCAAGCCTGTGACTCCCTGTTGGACTAGGTGATCTGAGAATGCATAACTGGTTTGGCTCAGCGACAACTCAAACCTGAATTCGCTCCGGTCAAACTGGTTCTATCTATGAAAAACGGCCTAATTCTAGAAATGATCACAGATCAGAGTTGTACCGGTAACTGTGGTTTCACGAGTGCCCAGCTCAATAATGTACATTATTCAAAGAAATTCCAGCGTTGATTCAATCCTTCTTGGAGCACCATCATACCTTTTTCCTCTCAAGACTCTGTTTCCTTATTTCCATGGACACGTGAGGCATTGTGAATCGATTTGCGTTCCATCAGACATGACTTGTTGGGGAGCCCTTGTCCAACCCTGCCGCCACTGGCTCAGCCCTTCCAAGACAAGTCGGGGACCAGTTATTTGACTACGTAGACAGGTATAGCTCGGTTTACTTGAACGGCGTACGAACCAGGATTTGATCCCTTGGCCGCAGTCATGATAAGCGGCGTCACTTGCCACTACACCACTGACTGACTGACCGACAAACAGTTTATGTGTACCATTCCAAGATAAATACTTTATAAAGGTTAAAGGAAACGGTACGAGAACTTACTTGCACTGTTAGTTTAAGCTCTCAACCCTTACAAAAGTGTAATCATGGCTAACTCAGTCCACATACAGAAATTTTATTAAACTGAACTTTGTTAAGGTCCAGTGCGGTTCCTTCACCACAGGGATGACAACTAATTTTTTATTTTTAAGGCGATGTCGATAACAGACCCATCACTGAACTGCCGGATTCTCATGAAGCCATAGCACTGCCGGCGGTTATTCAGTGAGGTTACAGGTATCTCGGCCTCATTGTTTGACAGTTTGCCGGTTGTTGTGGAGGATAACAATTTAGCTGGGCTATTCAAGCATGACATTGGGTTATCGAAAACAAATCCCATAGTGTTACCACCATTTCCTGATTGGAGGCAGCTGTTTTTCCTACTTTCAAATAGCAACTATGTCACCCACTAGGGAAAGGCATCGTATGGTAGAATGGGAGATCGAGTTTGTGGAATTGAGCAAAGGAGGTTGACTAGGTGTTCACGGGCTTGTTCGCTAAATTTGGATATATTCGCCGTCTTGATACGAAAGCAAAGGACAATGCCGAAGGCAGCTGTACAATTCTCATGGAAAAAACTGACCCTGCATAAATAGGCCTAATTGGGGGGGAAGGGACAAAAAACGGCCGAACCTTGTGCCCAGAGTTGTGTTCCGAGGGTCATGGCATACAGCATCTGGTGGCCTGGCCACATGACTATGTTAGATTCATTATTGAGGGCTTCAGTCAAGCAATCAAGCATGCCCCCCCCATCCACGTTGGACGGGCCCCAAAGACGTGGGATACAGCGGTACTACAAGTGCAATGACCAGGCAACACATAATTTGAGGAGATCAATTGTGACATAATGACAACGTAGGGAATTCAACCTATCAATCAAGGGAACACATCAGTACCGATGTAGCCGCTCTTGTTATCTGTCGACTTGGGTAGGTCTGAAGAACCCGTCTGAGCAGTGGAAACATCGAAAAACTCCAGCGGTGAAGGACCAGGGGGAGATGTAGGCGATATTCAACCACACTGGAATCCGCCAAGCCGCGGCTTCCTCACCACTTCGCTCATCTATACCCACATTCTGACCTAACAAGCTCGGTCAATACCCTTTTTGGTCTTCGAAACGCCCAGCCAGTGCAAGTAGGATCCGCGGATGACATAAGTGACTATAGAGTCTCACCAAGTCCCCATATCCGTCTCGCAGGCCATTCCGGATATCTGACAGTCATTTTGCCCAGAAACCCAGCGTTTCCCATTCCTAGGCTTCACTGCCCTTTTAAGCGCTTAAGGATCTCCCAGACTGCTTCGGATCGCTTTCAGTGGTGGAGAAAAAACACCCAGGCCCTTTTTGAACCGCATAAAAGTTGAGCCTCTCATTTGGGAAGAGATTTCCGATCAATGAAAAACCTGAATGAGCTCTGTGGCGCCACAAAGTCGCCAACTGTCCCTATTAAGGGATCAATTTTGCATCAATTAATCGCTGTCTATCAACTGTTGCATGAGTGGCCTTGCCCTTCGTGATGAATGGCAGAAAAGTACGGATGAGCCTTTGAAAGTCACAAGTTGAAACGAAGAAGAGTCTCTTAATGGGCAGAAATTGCAATTATCCGCAGATGCGCAACTGTAGATGTTTTGCAAAGGCCTTTTCAGGCGGCAGGGTAGTACTCGTTCTTCAAGAATCAACACATTAAGCAGCGCTCCGCACCACTGCGCCACTCGTAGCTCCGTAGCAGATGTAGTCCTCAAGAGAGATCTATGAGCGTGTGGTGTCATCGGTTCATTACTGGACAGTACTCTGACCTAATTCATCAAAGGGAGAAGGAACAATACAGCCAAGCCTATTCGCCAACCAACAAAACTATATGATCATGAATCACTGTCGCGCAAGGTGCTGTAATGTCGCGGTGACTACAGATGTAGTCCTCAAGAGAGATCTATGAGCTCTAAAAGGAATCGTGCACGGGAACTTGACCTATTCTTCCCCTGCAGACACCGTCGTTTTTGATCACTAATTGATTCAAAACACCGTAAATGTGAATTCAGTTTCCGGAAAGAAACAGATCTCTCGAAAACTGCACTTTATGGACAACTCGCAGACTATTGGGCGTGAGCCATTCGGGCGTGGGAAGAGAACTAACGTTGGGGGTGGTCCAGAGTAAAGTGTCGCGTCATAGAAAGGAAACTCAATTCAAACCTCCTTGGGAGAGTAGAGACGAAAAGTTTAGCGCAATACTAGGTTAGGATGTAATAGAAGAGGGAAACATAATATTTCCGCCATAGGTGAGGAGGTCAATGAGATTTTTTGGTGACTGTACTTCGAGAGGCAAATGGAGTCGTTCCCGCCGTCAACATTCTGTGACAGTTTCACGGCGGGAATTTGAACAGCAATAGTTTACCTTGCTTTTCGTATTGCTTACCAAAACTAAAACAACTTCTCGTTCTTTTCGTTCTTATCCTTAAGGATGGGTCTCACACTATCAATTTATGAGGGGATATAATTGTGCCGATTCCGTGCACGATTCCCTTTAAAGTGAAATGTAAGCGATCTACCTCGACAAAATGGTGCTGGAGAGTGAAAACTGGTCTAGGATCCCTCGACGAACAGTCGAGGTTTTCGCCTGTCTGGTCATACTCTCCCCCGCGGACATTCACTATTGCCACTATTCTCACACAGTGAAGAGCTATGGTCAACGAATTTCTCGGACGTTATTCACCCTGTTTGAGAGTTCATTCATCTAACTGGCACTAGCGCTTCGACGGGATTACTGCCGATATTTAACTATTACTTTCAAAACATAAAGTCCTATTTTAACCAAAGTGCCGACAAACGAACAGATCTCAGCTTGTCCTAATCATTAAAAAAGCCCGATTTCTGCAAAAGGCCCTCTTATGTAGAGGCTATTTGTGATACTGCGCAACACGAACTTGAGGTATTAACCTTAGAAATCTTCTTAGGATGCCCGCACCCACCGTAAACCGTGCACTGCTCAAACCAACAGATAGTTCTATCGGAGTACTTAAAAAGTTAGACATTCAGTTTTA